ATCATGCTAGCGGCTTTTTACTTCCGCCACTTCCGGCGGTGGTCTTTAAAAATGAAAGTGTATTTCTCTTTGAAAAGGTGTACCTGCATCATTATCATTGTATTAGATGAAAATTATCTCAGAACAACAATACTATTGCCTATCGCAATAAATTCTGAGACAATTAATCGTCCAGCAAAATTTGTAATCGTGACAGGCCTACCTACACCCTGCAAATACACTTCTCTCTGGCAAAACCCTGACTTTCACACACATAACACACCACTGCACTACCACACATGGGAACAAAAAGGAATCACCCACCTTGGCCATTTATTCAACAACAACACATTTATGACATATAAACAACTAACAGACAAATTCAATCTAAATCAAAACTGCACATTTCAATATTTCCAAATTAAATCCATAATTAAAGGCAAGATTAACTCACAGCACAACCCTCTAACTGCACCCCAACTCATTGAAAATATAAAAAACATTAAAACAATGAAAAAATTAACATTTAACAACACAATTAACTACACCAATTCTTGAATATAGACCAAACAATACACACCCCAAAAGAAAAGAAAATGGAACTTGAACATTAACTCACCCATCACACCCGAATTCTGGACAGAAATATGCACCAACACCTTCTCCATGACACCAAATACCAATTTACAAATGATACAATACAGGATTATTCGTAAAACACACATAACTGAAAATAAAAGGTATAACATGGGACTAACAGACACAAGCAAATGCACTCAAGGCACAATGGGCTCCACAGACACGTTCGGGGCTCGGGCCTAATAAAAAAAGCGAGCAAATAAAACATGTGGACACATAAACACAGTAAATATACGGCACTGGGATCTGTGGAGACAGCAGGTGGCAGCACTCATTATTTATTTTCGTTTTATTTATCATTGTTCGTTTTTTTTTTTTTTTTTTAGACATATATAATTATACATTCATACATATATTATACACAAACACTCAAATACATTAACACCTACATTAACACCTACACATTAGCACCTACATATTTCCATGACAGTACTTGCTTGTTATTCTATTTTTATTAAGTATTTTGTTTTCTTTGTTCATTGTCTCCCCCCCCCCCCCCCCCCCCCCCCCCCCCCCCCTTATCCCCCTTTCCTCCCCCCACCAATATATTATTGTACATAGTAATTTATGTTATTTGGAAACTGTATCACATTGTGTTAAATAAAAAAAAATAAAAAAAATATCATTATCCTGCTGTGTGAACCAGGCTTTAGGCTTTTTATAATGTGATAATCACACACTTTTTAAACATAATACACAGAAACAGGTAATTGTTCACAATCATCCTGGCACACTGCAATGGACTATTTTTATAGACCTGATTTTGAAGCATTTGGAATGGACGCAACTATTCTTATTTAATCTAAACTATATCACTGAATAGATAAATGCAAAAATACAGCTTTCATTTCCTTTCTCACAGAATAGCAAGCCACATTTTCACGTGCAATAAATCTCCCAGTCTAATTTAACTCTTATGGGAGACCTTTAACCAGATTTCTGTAACCTCCAAATTGCTAAAACTGTGTTCAGTGACATTTGTGCTCACCAACACTGAAATACCATCCGTGCCACAAATAGCAATGAGCTCAAATCGTCCAGTGAACTGTGAAATCGCCAGCGGTGAGGCAGGCAACAGCTGTCTCACCACTGCCTCCCAACACAATGAAATGTGATCGGCTAATATGATGAAAACATGGCACTAACATTATGTCTTGTTTTATATCTTTCTGCTTTCCTTTGATGATGTAGCGACAACACAATGAGGTGAGATGTTTTTTGTGTTTGGCTGCACATTTGTCAAAATATTGAAACTATTTAATATATTACTGACCAACATTGCCGTCTAGTTTTGTTTTGTTAATTTTAGTAAAATTAATAACTGTTGAATTTTGAGATCATAATTTCAAAAGGTTATAACTTAAAAGTGAGTAAAAGAAAGTGATTTTTATTATTATCTGTATTTTTATTTTTATTAATACGTATATACAAGGAATTAGTAAATCATCATTGTACAGTACTAATAAAAGGCAAGATGATGGAAATAATGATGATAGGAATGCAAATGTAACAGGCCCTTTGCTGTAGAGATAAAGAATCCCTCCTCATCTAGGAGACACGTGTTTCATGGTGTGGTTCGGCCTATTGCAGGGCACAAAACATCTGGGGCGAATTGGCATTGGATGCTTCTCTTCACCCCATATATACGATTGGCTGATCAAACGGTTTAATCCAGTTTTGATACTCCTCACCGTGACTGTCTCTGCTGCTACGTTACCCCCCTGATCTCTCTCTCATCTAACATACCCTGTGCTATTAGGCAAAGACTCATTATGTTACCTTACCCGCGATTATGGGGAAGCAGACGGTCAGAAGACAGAGAGGCAACATGGCTAACGCCAAAACACTGCCCTGACGCTACATCCTGCCTTGTTCTCCGCACAACTAACACGACTTCTAACCTCCTGATGAACACCCCAACCTTGTGAAGCACTGTTCCCACCTCTGACACTGGGCACAGGGCATCTATATTGGGCACAGGAGCATCTATACTGGGCACAGGAGCATCTATACTGGGCAAAGGAGCATAATTTAGCACAGGAAAATCTATACAGGGCACAGGAGCATCTGTGCTGGGCACTGGAGCATCTATACTGGGCACAGAGCATCTATACTGGGCAAAGGAGCATCTATACTGAGCACAGGACTATCTATACTCGGCACAGGACCATACAGGCAACAGCACCCTCTATACTGGGCACAGGACCATCTATACTAGGCAAAGTTTGTTCTTGGTGTGGGACAACACGTGGGACAACACTTGCTTTGCTCTTATTTTCCGCAACTGATTGAACGTGCTTTTGCTCGAGTAGTCAGGGATGTAGTATAACATGTCTGCCAGCTAGTGGCAGGCAGATTGAATGAAAATGTACACCCTGTTTAACTAATTCGGCATTTTTAAACAGTACCTTATCTTGTCAACTAATGTCGACCGTGGCGACTAAAGGGTTAAAGGTTCAACCATACTAATGAAGCATTGACCTCATACACAATTCCCATTTATTAATCTCAGAACATGTTTAAGTTTAAATAAATGATAAAAAATTATTTATTTCTTATCTTTAATTTAAAGACCTTATGACGGGTTTGATTTATTTAGAAATACAGTTTTAATACCATTTTATATTAGAAGAGAACTACTAAAGGTTTCAAAATCAGTTGTTGTTTTTTTTTGTCTGATCCCCCCAAATCGAAATAACCCCATAGCAACGCCCTTAGAAACGAAAAAACTTCACAGCCCTTGGTGACGTCAGAACGGGTACGTTTCAATGCTGTAAGTTGTTTACAATTTGGTATTCGTTCTTTTTTCGCGGATATTCAAGATGACAAGGCCGTGTACAGCGAGTCTAAGATAGCTACTAGAAAGTAACATTTCGTTGTCACTGAGATAGTCCAGTGGTTGTGTCGATGGACTGCCAAGCCAGACACTTGGGTTCAAATCCTACCTCGGACACTTTTTCACACTCAAAACGGCAATTTATGTGTAGTGAGCAATTGTCACCTGTAGAGGGCAGTATTGTGTTGGGCATCAGTGGAGAGAAGAGAGAAAAGGCAGAACTGTCGCATAGATCCATGGTTTTCAATGCATGGGCGTAACCCGCTATGACGTCACACACAGGTTAGAGCATAGACAACTTAAATTCATGAAAAACACGTTCTTTTTATAAAATATAGGATTTTTTTTGCCGGAATCTCGTTCAAATTGACATTGTCATGCAATTTTGATATCCACTATTTTTTTTTTTAAAACCCGTCATAAGGTCTTTAACCTTACCTCTTGTGTAGTCTGTAGTCTTTTCTTGATTTTGATTTTAATTGCAATCAATCATATGGCCTAATTTCCCGTGCATGAGTGATTTATTAATGTATTATTATACGGCTCCTCACAGCAGCAGTAGAATGCTCCATTGATTTGAATGTAAATTCAAAACGTTCTACCGGTCATTATTTTCTATAACGGACCTCTCAAAACAATAATGACCGCTGCCCATGGCAACGCACTCTGTGCTTGTCTTTCAAATGCGTGGATAACTCCGCAAGTAGTTCCGGCCACTCCTGAGCTAGCCACGCTCAATCAACACACTTAAATGTTAATCGGAGAATACTTATACATATACATTCTTCACACACGTGCACGGAAATGTTCAGAATTTTCTGGTCTTGTCTTCATGACAAAAATACTATTTCTCTGCGTCAAAAAGCGATCGGGAAAAACCCGGAAGTAGTTCTGGCCGCTCAATAAACGCAAATGCCAATCAATCAACGCAATGAAATGTTTATCGGAGAGTGAATTATACATATCCAGTCTTAATACAAGTGCACGGAAGTTTTCAGAATTTTCCGTTTACGTTTTCATGACAAAAACACTGATGTAATGCGAGAAAAGGCGATCCCGAAAAACCCGGAAGTAGATACCGGCACATTTTAAGATACCGGCACATTTTCGGACACATTTGCAGAGGATCGAATTATGGATTTAGGTTAGGTTTATGTATGGGTCACTCACCGCTGATGTTCAGAATTCTTTGTTCAGTTTTCATGCAGTTCCAGAGAGTTCTAGTTTGGAAGTTGCCAGCCTAACTGTTGCTAGCATAGCCACAATTGTCAAAGCCACACTGCCTGCCCGCGGTTGCCGAGCAACGGGAAAACTTTTTGGGACTACTTTATTTGTTGTCATTAAATAAACTTTTGGCATTCATAAAAGTGATCTGAAGTTTATTTTGTGTGTTAAGTTGGTACAAAGCAGTATAATAAGCGGGATAATGTATAGCATACAGGTCATTATCGGAAAATAAGTACCGACAGGGTCTGCCCTGAAATGACCTGTATGCTATACATTATCCCTTACTTAATGCATGCTAAATTTGCCTTGTGTTCCATAGGTGGATGAGAAAGCCCAGATGTGGGGTCCCGGACCAGATAGGGGGCTTGTCTCGATTCAATGTAAGAAAAAAGCGCTACGCCCTCACAGGACAGAAGTGGCAACATAAACATATTACGTACAGGTGAGTGGAAAATGCTCTTTTGAAAATTCTTTCTTTGATATATATTTCTGTTCTTTATGGTCAGCTTTGGGATTTTTACAGCAACAAATGTGATTTGTTGTAACAAGAATAAAACAATGCCTTTTATTGATTAAAATTACTCAATAAAAGGCGTTTTATTCCAAAATGTGAATGTAGACATAATATTCAGGGGCGACAGTGGCTTAGTTGGTAGAACATTTGCCTTTGAGCCTGAAGGCCGTGGGTTAGGGTTAGGGTTAGGTTTAGGGTTAGGGTTAGCCCACCATGAGATTTTCCCCACCGACTCGCACTAATGTCTGCTGTCGTTGTGTCCTTGGGCAAGACATTTAACTCCACTTTACCTGAGGCCCCTGCTGATTAGAGCAGGTCAGATTAGAGCAGCCGTCGGCCAGTGGACTCACCACCTGCAGGAGGATCAGTGAGGGGCTGGTGCTCTGTGGATTGGGTGGCAGCTGATCCAGAAACGGACAAAGGGGAAAAAGATGGATGGATGTATGGAAATAATTATCACATTAGGATTATCATAGGATCTTTAGAATGATTTTTCATACAAGGCATATAAATACTCGGGCTGTTAAACGATTAAAGTTAATTACAGCTTAAAAATGTATCAATCGTAAATAATCACATTTCGAACTGCAAAATGATGCCATAAAAAAATATATAACAACATAGTGTACATATATTCTGTGTTTGTATATTCCAACAATAAATCCACATAAAACGGCATTAACAATATTAACATATAAGTGGTATTAAAAGTATTAAAACCTGCAATTTAATTGAACAATTGAGCGCATTGATTCAGCTTATACTCATATTCATATTCTCATATTCTCCGCTGCTAATGTATAATATAGACATCTGTAAATACTCCGAACCAAGTGCAATTATAGCCCAGAGTTTATCTTATTTTATTTTATCTTAAATTTATTGTCTATTATCTTAAATAATAGACTTTGATGTGTGCAATCTGAGTGCTCTTATTTCCTTTCTCTGCTGTAATGTGCGCAACGATGACACTGAAATTTCTCCACTGTGAGACTAATAAAGGTTTATCTTATCTTATCTTATGTATGAATATTTACAGTCTATAATATGAATTAAGGCCATAAAAAGTGCTGAATAGAAATTTTGCGTGACGCTCCTCGTCTGCAGCGAATTTAAACAACAGCAGCATGGCTGGAGAAGGTGGCTATACCTCGTCTGGCTGTAACTGCATGTACAGCAATAAAACAGCCCAAAAGACACAAAAGTGAGGAGGAGAAGAGGGAAATAAAGCAAACAAAAATTATTGGGTTGTGGTGGAAAGTGATCTCTAATTTCTGGGTTGTCAGTGTGTGGTAAGACTGGAAACCTCCATCCATCCATCCATTTTCTTCCGCTTTATCCGTTGCCGGGTCGCGGGGGCAGCAGTCTAAGCAGAGACGCCCAGACTTCCCTATCCACACACACCTCCTCTAGCTCGTCCGGGGGGACCCCAAGGCGTTCCCAGGCCAGCTGAGAGACATAGTCTCTTCAGCGTGTCCTGGGTCTTCCCCTGGGCCTCCTCCCGGTGGGACGTGCCCGGAACACCTCCCCAGGAAGGCGTCCAGGAGGCATCCTGAACAGATGCCCGAGCCACCTCAACTGGTTCCTCTCGACGTGGAGAAGCAGCGGCTCTACTCCGAGCTCCTCCCGTGTGACTGAGCTCCTCACCCTATCTCTAAGGGAGCGCCCAGCCACTCTGCGGAGGAAGCTCATTTCGACCGCTTGTATCCGCGATCTCGTTCTTTCGGTCATTACCCACAGCTCATGACCATAGGTGAGGGAGGGAACGAAGATTGACCGGTAAATTGAGAGCTTTGCCTTTCGGCTCAGCTCCCTCTTTACCACAACGGTCCGATACAGAGACCGCATCACTGCGCACGCTGCACCGATCCGCCTGTCAATCTCACGCTCCATCCTCCCCTCACTCGTGAACAAGACCCCGAGATACTTGAACTCCTCCACTTGAGGAAGGACCTCTCCACCCACCTGAAGAGGGCAAGGCACCTTTTTCCGGTCGAGCACCATGGCCTCAGATTTGGAGGTGCTGATTCTCATCCCAGCCGCTTCACACTCGGCTGCAAACTGTCCCAGTGCATGTTGCAGGTCCTGGTTCGTTGGAGCCAACAGGACGACATCATCCGCAAAAAGTAGAGATGAAATCCTGTGGTTCCCGAACCGGACCCCCTCCGGCCCCTGGCTGCGCCTAGAGATTCTGTCCATAAATACAGTGAACAGAACCGGTGACAAAGGGCAGCCTTGGCGGAGGCCAACATGCACCGGGAACAGGTCTGACTTACTGCCGGCAATGCGAACACAGCTCTGGCTCCGGTCATACAGGGACCGAACAGCCCTCAGCAGAGGACCCCGGACCCCGTACTCCCGGAGGACCCCCCAAAGGACACCCCGGGGAACACGGTCGAACGCCTTCTCCAAATCCACAAAGCACATGTGGACAGGTTGGGCGAACTCCCATGAACCCTCGAGTATCCGATGGAGAGTATAGAGCTGGTCCAGTGTTCCGCGACCGGAACGAAAACCACACTGCTCCTCCTGAATCCGAGATTCGACCATCGGACGTAGCCTCCTCTCCAGTACCTTGGAGTAGACCTTACCGGGGAGGCTGAGGAGTGTGATCCCATGATAATTGGAACACACCCTCCGGTCCCCCTTCTTGTAGAGAGGGACCACCACCCCGGTCTGCCACTCCATTGGCACCGCCCCCAATCGCCACGCGATGTTGCAGAGACGTGTCAGCCAAGACAGTCCTACAACATCCAGAGACTTTAGATAGTCAGGACGGATCTCATCCACTCCCGGCGCCTTGCCACCATGGAGTCTGCCAACCACCTTGGTGACCTCGGCCAGGGAGTTGGAAGTATCCGCCCCAACATCCTCCGCCTCTGCCTCCTGGACGGAGGACGTGACGGGGGGATTGAGGAGAACCTCGAAGTATTCCTTCCACCGCCCGACAATATCCCCAGTCGAGGTCAGCAGCCCTCCACCCGCACCATACACGGTGTTGGCAAAGAACTGCTTCCCCCTCCTGAGGCGCCGGACGGTTTGCCAGAACCTCTTCGAGGCCGACCGATAGTCATGCTCCATGGACTCTCCGAACTCCTCCCAGTCCCGGGTTTTTGCCTCTGCAACAGCCCGGGCCGCGGCACGTTTGGCCTGCCTGTACTGGACAGCTGCCTCAGGAGTCCCACGAACCATCATTGCTCGATAGGACTCCTTCTTCAGCCTGACGGCATCCCTTACTGCCGGTGTCCACCACCGGGTTCGGGGATTGCCGCCGGGACCAGCACCAGAGACCTTGCGACCACAGCTACGAGCCGCCGCATTGGCGATAGAGGAAGAGAACATGGTCCACTCGGACTCGATGTCCCCCTCCTCTGCCGGGACCTGGGAGAAGCTCTCCCGGAGGTGTGAGTTGAAAGTCCGTCTGACAGGGGGCTCAGCAAGACGTTCCCAGCAAACCCTCACTACACGCTTGGGCCTGCCAGGTCTGACCGGCCTCCTGCCCTGCCAGCGGATCCAACTCACGACCAGGTGATGATCGGTTGACAGCTCCGCCCCTCTCTTCACCCGAGTGTCCGAGACACGCGGTCGAAGGTCAGATGATACGACTACCGTGCACTGATGGACACCCTTGTGCTCGAACATGGTGTTCGTGATGGACAGGCCGTGACTGGCACAGAAGTCCAACAACTGAACACCGCTCAGGTTCAGATCAGGGGGGCCGTTCTTCCCGATCACCCCTCTCCAAGTGTCACTGGCATTTCCCACATGGGCGTTGAAGTCCCCCAGGAGAATGACGGAGTCCCTGGGCGGTGCACTGTCCAGTACCCCTCCCAAGGACTCCAAGAACTGGGAGGTTCTGGACTGGAAACCTTTTTAGACTAAAATGTTTGAACTGTGTCAACAAACTAATAGTTTAGGCCATACAAAATCTTTAATGTGCACATAATGCGAATATGTTTTGGTCTGTCAATAAAACTCACAATGATACAGAGAGCAGTAGTCTCACAATGGCAGGGCTAGAAGCTTTGCCCTGCTGCTGCTGTCGCCCACCAACTGAGCGACAGTAGCTCAGTTGGTAGAGCAGTGGCCTTTGGCCTGAAGGTTGTGGGTTCAAGCCCACCTCGAGACCTACTTCACGACTCCCACTGATGTCTGCTGTCGTTGTGTCCTTGGGCAAGACACTTAACCACACTTTGCCTGAAACTCCTCCTGTGGACTCACCACCTGCAGGAGGATCAGTGAGGGGCTGGTGCTATGTGTACTGGGTGCAGCTCTGACTGCCACCCCCCCCGACCCAGAAATGGATTATGGGGAAGAAAATGGATGGGTGGATGGATGTTTCTTCTTATTCAAAGAGCATGTGGAATAGGGATGTAAATCGGTGACCGTTTAACCGGTGGTTGACCGTCACAGCGTTAACCGGTCAAAGCTGTTGGTTAAAAAAAAGAAAAGGGGAGAGGGGAGGTTTCTTAATAACGCTATTTTAAGCCCTATTCGCGCGGTGTGACGAGTGGGTCCATCTCTAGCTGTGTGCGCCCATGTATCAGTAAACTCTGGGCCGACTCTCGTGCCGCACGTGCCACACATGCACGCCCACTGGCACGCGCGCACATACAGGCACGCACACACACACTTTCCCCCTCTCCATTGATACGTAACATCAAGACGCATCATCTCTCCCCTCTGTTACCGTCAAAGTTGCACACTGGTGCGGGTCAGAACTACATTGGAGCTTATATTTACACACACATACATGTATTGTACACACACACATACCGGTCTGTCGCGCTCCTCTGTGTCACGGAGCCCAAAGGATTCGCGCAAATATGTGGCTTCAGTCAAACCACATGGAACATGTTTGTGTTTATGGTCCTTGGCGTTAGATCAGCTCCACACTTATCACTTGTATTTAAACTTTTGCGAAGACC